TCATTCTGACTGAGCACTCAAGCGTTCACAGCATGCAGAAAAACTATACAATCAGCAGGATATCATTCATCACTGTCTATCCCGTTAAGTCCACCTTCATTATTTATCTCCTTTCTACTTTATCAGTTTAGCTTTTAACTGATTCATTATTTTTTTCCCCTACCTCGTATCTGCCAATTACCCTTTTTTCTGTGTTTAATCCCTAGAGTCACAGAACATAGACCCTCACTAAATCTGTCTTCTCCCTATATCTCTTTCCTAATTAGTTAAGCTTTACCTCTGTACAGTGACACACATTCTTGCACCGATCTTTTTCTCTTGCCACAAGCAATCCTTCATTCATCCCCAGGGGGTTAAATGTGCATCTACCTTGCCTGCCCCCCTCTTTAAATATTGATACACTGATTCTCTCCATATTAGCAAATGGCTGTTGATCACAGAGCTTTGTGAGGGTGTGTGTACGTGCTGCTGAACATTAATGAGCCTGAAGCAGATGCATATTTAATACCCCGAACACATTCCATCACCATAAATGCTTTTATGTCCCCATCAGCTCGGTGGAGATTGTCTCATGAGTCCCAACTCAGAGCAGCAACAAAGCCAAACTCTCACTGTTAAACAACCAAATCCAAGTGACCAGCTTGTTCGGAAAGTCACTGTAAGTCCAATTAATTCCCAGTAAGCAAAGCTGGTTAGAACATTGTTAATGAGGTCTTTAGACCTCATCATTTATTTACATCTAAGGCAGTTTTATCCATCTTTGTCCAGTTGGGTCCAAAGATTTAAATGACTCTTTCCCATGTAACTGCATGTTGTTTTTTGTTTTTTTTGTTGTTGTTTTAAGAAAAACAGCAGAGATGGAAAGACTCTTTGCTTTTGCAGGAGGCAGAGATGGTTATAAAGTGTATTAGCTGTTGAGAGGAAGGATCTGAAGTGATGCTCCTTTGTGCACTGAGGATGCAGGCAGTCTGTCCCAGAAGGAGCTCTACAGTTTTGTAACAGCTTAATGCGCGATCTAACCTCCACCTTTATTACGACTTAAAACAGCTGGTTAAGTTTTAATCATTTAAGATTTTAAACCCCAGATACTTTGAACTGAGGAAAAAATAAATCATTTAGCAGTTGCCACAAACAACAGATTATTTTCCTTGATGGTGTACACTGGTTTTGTTTTTGTGTGTCTTGTTATCTTTAATAAATTTAATTTTACTTTCGATTTTATCATTTATCTAGCTGTGATGTTGTTTGTTGTGAAATATTCAGCTCAGGCTGTTGTATTTGTGCTATATAAATAAACTTTGACTTGACTTGATGTTGTGATGATATGGTGCCTTCATGTAAGTGGGAAACTCTGCCTCTCTTCCTGGGGTTTTGTGGGTTACCTATGTTTCCAACTGTCCGCTTGGTGTACATTTTTCTGCAACACTTACAAATAAAAAAGGGATTCCTTCTTGTCAAGTTCTCTGAGGTTCACCAAGCCAAGGCTTCAATTTAATGAGCTGACAGGCATTTGAATCAGCAGTTTACGTAATGCAGTGCAAGTTTTATTATTATTATTATTAAATCAGAACAGTTGCTACAGCAGATATTTCAATACTTTCATACATATAGGCAAAATAAATAAAAAATAAAAATCATATTCATCCATCACTGCACAGTAAGGCAGCCCACAGCCTCCCATTGGATTAAAAGAGAATTTTTTTAAAGAATTAGACTGCGAGCCAGAGTGAAGTATGCGTAGGCGAGCTGTGTCAAAAGCCAGTCAAGTAGAGTGCACGTGTCCTCGGGGTGAGGGCATGAATGCAGATATAGGTCCCTTCTTTCTGCCGGAGCTGAGTGGATGTGATGTGTTCAGGAGTGTATGCTGCTCGGTGTCTGCTTGTGTCAGATAAAGACACATAGCAGACACGGTAGCAAAATGTGCACAGGCTCTAAAATAATAATCGAGGTACAGTATGTGTGTGTTTCGAAATGCTCCTAGTCACATACTCATTTGGACATCGCATTGCTGAGTTGCCCCACGACACACAAAGCCACACTTGACAGGCAAGAGGGAAGTGTTTTGAAGCTATAAACAGAAATCCACAGTGACCCAACATCGAAATGTATGGCAATAAGCTTACGAGTTTCAAAGATTAGTGGTTAAAAGCCAGAGATAAGTCAGACGCCATTACGCAGGTTGTGAGCCAAACAAACAGGGAAGGGGTGGAGACATTCGAGTGCGATGAGATTCAGCAGCAACCAAGTGGCGTATATTTGGAGTGCCTTCGAAACGCAGCATTTGCTAAAAAAAGACATGCAGATAAAAATTCACATGAGGTTCATTTGTTTGCAAGAGAATATGTTACCGCAAGAGAATAAATAGTTTGTAAGTGTTTTGGGTTATATTCCTGATTGGTAGTTTTCTAAAGCTCTGACATGCTGGTTCCACTTTTTACATATTCTAGTTTATCTTTCAGAACCATAAAGAACAGCATTTTTAAAATATTCTAATCTTTTTATAAATGGTAACTTTCTTAATAAAAGCTTGTTTTAGTGAAATAAAATTACAGAGCTGTCTTTCTCTGCATGACTCGATAAAGTCAGTAATATTCTCTGGGCTATGGGGTAGAGACAAATGTAAAAGAAAAATCCAGTGAGCTACAACAATCCTCTTTTACAAGACAGATTGTACCTCAGTATTTTTATTTTTTTTACACACCACAAAATGTAGTACCATATCATATATCGATTGATCTTTTTTTTTTCTTTCAAAGATTGTTTTCAAAAATAACATTTGTCTTACACCTATCTGTGGGGAAAAGCTCTGATTTGTTATTCATTCCTTCATTCCTTTATATTAACTATAAATATTTAAAAGATTTCAAGCAGCCTTTTTTCATCTTACATTAACGATTAGCACACATATTTAGTATTGCTGCGTATTCTCTGTAGATGAAGTCGGCCATTTGATTTGCCATGTGATTTTCAAATGACTCCCTACATTTTTCTAATCCAACATGTTTCATAACAGATAACTGGACTTTTGAAGATAATAATACAGGCCACTGGAATCCATCTAGCTTCCTGTTATCTGTTAATGTCGCCCTGTTGGAAGAGCCTGAAAGAATAGCTGAAATAGTTCTGTAGAAAACACTTTTCTAGAAACTTTTTAAGGCTTATTTTCTTCCTTTGACTTCATCTTTAAACATATTACCGATACCGATACCAAGAAAACATTAACTTCATGTCTTCTTTGCCTAGGAATAATTTCTACAATGGGGTGTGTCAATGTTTCTGTGACCCAGTGGTCATCGGTTTGGGTGGGTTCGCTAATTGAAATAAAATCTGGTTTAAAGTTTCAGATCAACGAATCACCATTCAGGGCAGGTAAAATTTAAAACTAGCAGGCTATGCTAATTAACCTCAAGTCCCTCCTCTAGGCTTAATATTTGATTTGACACATCATATTTTTTTGATCATTTCAAGGTATTTTACTTTTTAAGATGTGGTATTTATGAAGAATTGCTATCAACTACAGCAGTGCAAAGTTAAATTAGTTGTTCAGTTTAAAGATTTTAATGTGACTTGAATATTTTTCTACCATATAAAAATACATCAGTTTGTCCTGTGAGCATTTTTTTAAAACCTGATCAATTTTAAAGTAATGCTAACTGTCACAATTAGTTGTTTTTTTTGTTTTGTTTTTTTTTTCTGGAAACTCTTATGAACAAGTACTTACCAACATAAATTATTCCTGAAATGAAACTGCGAACATTTAGAGCAAAGTACTGTACCTAAAAGCTAACATGCAAGAAGAGAACTCGATGCAGAAAAGAAAAGAAAAATTCTCTCTGCTTTGTGTTTTTCTCTCTAAGATCCTCTAGAAGCATCTGCTGCGTTCACAGTGAATATGACAGGTATCAGAAAGAGTTAGCATGATGACTATTACTCATGATGGAGTCAGACTAGTGTTGGCAAAACCATTGGTTGGTGGATGCAGTTGCCTGATTTGAAATTTAAAATGTTTTCTTAATTTGTAGGTAAGCATGAACACACACATACACATTGTATGTCTTTCCATAAGGAACAGCCAGTCCATAAAGCGTAGTATGTCTTTGGAAAATAGTCCTTAAAAATATATCAAACAAAAGGCCACATACACACACACACACACACAAATATAACTACTGGCTCCTTGGATCGTGTTTGTAGATAATGGTAGAGTGGTCTTCTGGCTGAGAGCCTGCAGTCTACAAAGGAAAGGCTTAAAAGCAAGTGACATTTACAGTGTGCAAGCTAACTCTGACAAACTTCCCACAAAAATAAAAAAAATGTATGTTGGGTAAGAAATTGTGCTGCTATCTTTGTAGGTGTTTGTTTGCCTTTCAAAGTCTGTCATGTTTGAGAAGATGTTCTGGATAGTCAAACCATTTTAAAATGTCCATCGATGCTCTACACACAGAGGTAATCAACTACAAATAAATGATGACAAGCCTGTGTTTCAATTAGATCTGTCAGAACTTCAGTCAAAACAAAATATCAGCTGTGAAGATACAAACACTCACCTGGAGAGTCAGCTTTGACTACCAGGTGGGGAATCCAAAGTCTCCTCCTGCTCAGTGGCACAGGACACATTACCTTTGTAATAGACACATCTTTTAAAGAGAAGTTTCTCCAGGGGTCACGTGTCAAATTCTTGCACAGAAACCTCCAAGGACCTCAGACTGTTTTTTTTTTACAATCTGAAGTTGTGAAAAAAACATTTTCCTTTTATCGCTTTTGCATTTTAAATCATGAGAATGGAAATTCTGAAGATAGCCTAAAATCCTTCAATCCATTAAAAATACATTGTGGGAAATGTGTGTTTTGTATGGAGTTTTAGATATTGTGTGATTGTTGACAAGATAACAATTAATGCACTTTAGTCTCATGATATTTTGAATCTAAGAGAAAAATAGGTCATAATTAAGCAACACCTTAAAGAGCTTCCCTTCACTAATGTCTATGCTTTTCTGCAGGACAGTGCCACCATGCAGTTCTGTGCCAACAAGCTGGACAAAAAGGACTTTTTTGGCAAGTCTGATCCTTTCATGGTTTTCTACAGAAGCAATGAGGATGGCACGTAAGTTCATCTGGTTTTGGCATTTTCTGCTTTGTCAGAATGTTTGGTATCACTCTACCTTTTGCAGGATGTCATTTCAACCATCAGATTAGATATTGCGAAAAATACAAATAAAGTGAAAGGATACAATGCAGGGCTGCACAGTGGCGCAGTTGGTAGAGCTGTTGCCGTGCAGCAAGACGGTTCTGGGTTCGATTCCCGGCCCCGGTCTTTCTGCATGGAGTTTGCATGTTCTCCCTGTGCATGCGTGGGTTTTCTCCGGGTACTCCGGTTTCCTCCCACAGTCCAAAAAACATGACTGTTAGGTTAATTGGTCTGTCTAAATTGCCCCTAGGTGTGTGTGCGCATGGTTGTGTGTCTGTGTTGCCCTGCGACAGACTGGCGACCTGTCCAGGATGTACCCCGCCTCTCGCCCGGAACGTTAGCTGGAGATAGGCACCAGCACCCCTCCCGACCCCACTGAGGGACAAGGGTGTTCAGAAAATGGATGGATGGATGGATATGATGCAATATTCGGTGTGTTAGAATCACCCAATCAAAGTCTAGGCCTGAATTTAATTGGAAAACTATTTTGCAAATAAGAATTGGCAATACTTTCAGTCGCTAGACATTCATGGGTGGTAGAAACACATCCCAAAATACTTGCAGCTTTAATTTTATTTATAAAATGTATTCACTTTCCAGATTTCTATTTGTAAGGGATTTGAAAATATTAATTATTTTCCTTGCAGCTCACTGTTGTGCATTATTTTTAGCTGTTTTTTTCAAAAAATAATTAGAAATTTTCAAATAATGTTTCTAATAAATTTTTTTTTATAAAAGTAAGTCAAGTGTAAGAAATTTAATGGGATAAACTTTGTTCCTTTCTTGCACAATCGGAGAGGAAATCTGCAGTGGTTATTGAGGAATGCACATCATAGGAGGATGTATAATAAGACCCGTGTATCCTTTTCACATCATAAGTAAAATTTCCATAATGCAACTTATAAATGAATCCAGGACTACAAACATGAAAAAGAGGCAATTAATGTAAAAATGCATGGAAAGAGTGGATAGCAAAACCTCAGCATCTGCATTTTACATTAATGAGGTAAAAGCAGCCAATTGCAGAAGCAATTTACTAAGAGATGCATAACACTCTCCAATCTCCTCACAGGAGGAGCACTTCTCTCAGAGTACTCCCCAGTTGATCATAAGGCTTTGTATTTCTAGCAAAGTCAGCTGTTTTTGGCTAAAGATCGTCTAAAACATTTTCAATAGAAATTACCAGGGTGAGAAAAGAACCCTTACTCCTGCTGAATGTGCGTCTCCTACAAGTCCCAGACAACAGTGCAAATTAGAGAGTTGTGTGGTTAAAGGAGTCATTGGACATTAAAAGGCTGGAGGCACTCAGTCAAGCACAAACAGCCTAATCCAGGGATTTGGATTAAGGCAAAAACAAAAGCACGATACATGTTGTTGCTTTTCAAGAGGGTGTTTGGATGGTATCTTCTCTACAAAACATTTTACATATCCGAAAAATCCATTTGCAGGTCATTGTCACACTTCTTCTCCACAGGGAGAATTTAAAAAGCCAGGGCAGAATCTTAAATTGGTCTTTGTGGTCTGAGACGTTGAGACCAGAAGAAAACAAAACTCTATTTAAAGCATCTCTCCTGTCACTGCAAGATGTGACTGATTGATATCTCCCCTGTATCTCCTAGGTTGTTTTTTTTTTTTCCCAGCCACACACTCCTCCCCCTTCTTTGCATATTTAGTGCATCTCTCCTTCATTCCCTCCAGGTTCTGTAGGCAACAAAGAATCAAATTTCTTCCCAACACTCTTTTTGAAGATATCCCTTTTTTATGTTCATTTTCTTCTGCCTCCAGGTTTACTATCTGCCACAAAACAGAGGTGGTGAAGAACACATTAAATCCAGTGTGGCAGCCTTTTACCATCCCAGTGAGAGCACTCTGCAACGGAGACTATGACAGGTGCAACACAGTTCCCCCCCACTCTATATGTTGTTCTGTTTTTTTTTTTTACGCTGCACTTTCCTCTTTACTTCTACCGGATTATTAATACATTTCAACCATGAATGGTGTCTGCCGTCACCGATTCCTGCTGGCTCAGTCCGTCGACTGTCATTAAAGCTCTTATTAATGTTTTTCTTACTGACAGTGAGTGTGCTAAGTGGAGTTATTAACACACTCTGTTCAAATATAAAAATACTTTAACTAGTAGGAATATGAACCTGTTAAACTTTTTTTTTTTCTGCAACCATTTTCACCTCAAAGTAGCTATGTGCTCTGTATTCATCTCTTCCAGATCTGTTAGTCTATATGACATAGTTTTTTTTATTAGTTTTATTTTACATGAGAATGCAGTTTAACTAAAGGAAAAGAATCCAAGCCTATGACTTTTTGTTGCAACTGTGTGCATTGGTAGATTTCTCACAACTTGGTACATTAGAACAAGCCATAAATATCTACTATCTTCTTTAGAATGAATTTAGAAGCTAAAGGTTTTACTTATTCTCTGCCTCCATGCCTAGTAGGAAAGATTGAGGTAAAGTGCATAAAACTATTTAGCTGTTTTCACATCCTAAGCTACTTTCTTTCAAATAAATGACAGACATTATATCTTAAATAATCAGATGTTGCTTCCTGAGATGTTTTATGTCTTACCTATCTAATCAAGAACATCTGGAAAGGGTGACGTATATTTGTGCTCACCCCCATTTACTCTGATACCCCTAATTGAAAGTGCAACCCAAAGAATCCTGATTGTTAAACAACATATAAACACTTCAAAGGCCTGTCTAGTCCAATCCAACTAGAAAAATAACCTTCTGCATCTCCTTAAACACACCATCCTTACTGTAAACTGTTGCGGTGGTGGCATCACGCTGTGGGTTTGCTAATCATTAACAGGAACATAGGAGCTCATTATGTTTCTCCAATCAAAGCCACGTTCTACATCAAGTTTAGAGTCAGAGACAGAACAAGGTAGTTTATGGTCAGAGACGCTGTCCATCCAGTCTGACTGAGCATGGGTTGTTTTCCAGCCGTTTTAACGTTTGAGCAGACATTTTTATATGTTTATGTGTGGACTTGCTATAAAACATGCAGCTGTAATTGCAATTAAATTGATGTTCTACTACAGTATTTAGTCAGAGGTGCAAAATATTTATTTATTGTTTTTTAGATTCACTGGTTTCTGTGACACCAGTGAATATTTTTCTTCTTCTTCACAATCAGAAACAACTTTCTATTGAACCATTACCAAAATCTTTGTAAATGCCCTGACATTTTTTTATGTAAAGTGAGAAAATAGGGAAAAGTTTAATGGATATGAAAACACTTTATTTGAAGGGGGTTGAATAAGACTGACATGACACTGTCATAAACATGACATAACACCTGTCATGAACATGAATAAGCCTTCATGAATATTTATGACTGTTGTCATAAAGCGTCATTCGGTAAATTATGACACTTTTAATACAAAGTTGACATTATTCAAAATGTCTTTTTTTTTACAACTTGACATTAAACAATAAATCATTACTGTTTAAACTTTACCTTTAATAACATAAAGTTACCTCATTTTTAAAGTGCAATCAGTAATTCTTTTATAACAAATTTATTTCAGTAATGATTTCTTGGTTAATGTCAAGTTGTCATAACAAAGACATTTTGAATAATGTCAACTTTGTATTAAAAGTGTCATAATTTACCGAATGACGCTTTATGACAACAGTCATAAATGTTCATTAGGGCTTATTCATGTTTATGACAGTGTCATGTCAGTCTTATTCAACCCCCTTCAAATAAAGTGTTACCAACATTTTCAACCCACTTTGTTAAATACTTTAATAGTGGCATATGCTAAATGTTCAGAGGAGAAATATTAAATGTGGTTTTGCTTTAATGTGTCACTGACAGCAAAAAAAGAATCTATAAAAAAAAAAATAATAATAATAGAAATGCAGGGTTGCTTCTCTCCCAGCAGGCACATTATTAATGCAAACTTGTTTAGTCAACGGCGATAAGAATTCACTTTTCTCAAAGCTTATCTGCATATTTCTAATTTAAAAAGACAGTGGTGTGAAGAAAACAAGATAAATCTTGAAGGAACTTTGAGGATAGATGAAAGGATAGAGTGACAGACAGATTGTCTTTATGGGGCACATATTTCACAAGGAATATTCAATCCATTTTTCTAACTTTTCCTGTCTCATCTCCATCTCTCTCAAAGGTTTCTGCCTTATCTTGTTTGTACGCAGTCAAACTCTAATTACGGAAACCGTTGAGAACCCGGTGTGTGGAAAAGGAAGCTGAGATAAATCTCCCAAACAGACTCACTTTATGGATATGTAGGGTTGCCAGATTGAGGAAACATGAAGCTTTGGTAAAAATGAATTAAACTTATCAGGTGGTCCATCGTACTCCAATCCAAACTGTTTTTATTTTGTCAGATCCAGATATAAATGGGCATAAAAGACTCTTCCTGAAATGTTTCTGTCCCAAACAAACACACTTAAAATAAAAATGCAAGATGCTCTCTTACCCATGCACCGTGGAAAGAAATTTGACATGGAGCATCTTGAAACATCATCAGCACATTGGCTAATAGAGGTTTTAGGCTTATGTGAGTGTGATTAAATTTCCTGGTGGTGATTGATTATATTTTTGTTCATGTTGATAACATAAGCACATAGATGATACCCAATGTGTATATATAGCTGTATTAAAAGACATAAAGTTTTTTTATTGCTTTATTGCTGATAGGACAACAATAATTATTCCTAAGTGCCACAGGCTAGAATAACTAAAGAGACGGTTTTCATATTGTTTGAATGGTTTGTCCCATTCTTCCCACCAGATCTGTTGTAGCTGAAGTAGGTTTGTAGGCCGCCCTTTATAATGTGGCTTCATGATGACCACTCCGAAACATTATTTAATGTCCTTAAGCAACGTTGCAGCGCAGCACACAGTGTGATCAGGGTCTCATTTGTTTCAAGGTCTCTCAATTTACTGGCTGATGTCCTGAGATGTAGCACCAATATTTTCACAAATTCCTTTCTTTGATGTGTATCCATCCATGTACATGCATTAGATAACCGTTTATAATATGCACGGCGTAGGTATTTGCCAAAACACAGCTTTTTAGGCTGCATAATTACTGTTCACTGTTCCAAGTAATGGAAAGCATTCTGTTTGTGTTTCCTTTGCAGAGGTGAAAAATGTGTTCAATGCGCAGACTGTTTTCATAACAGCGATTTAATCTACCAAACAAAACATGCTGCCTCGTCCTTGTAAAATCTGGAATCAAAATCTGACCTCTTCATCAAATAAGTCATGCTACATCATACCTGTGCAAATAAAAACAACCAAATTTTGACCAAAAACGCTGATATGTTCAATAGAAAATAAAGATATGAACCAAATTAATTCAAGGCTGCACACATTTGTATTGCATCCAGCAGTGAATTGCACAGATTGATATACTTTGGTTTGGATTTGCCTCTCTTATTTTTGGTACTAAAGAATAAGATCTAAGTCTTGAACAAGCTAACAAAAAGTGCCCTACATTTTTCAAAGTGGATACATCGCTGCTCTGATATCTTCAAAGTATTTTCTTAGGATTTTGTGTGACAGAGCAACACAAAGCATTGCAGTATTTATGAAGTGAATACAAATTTGCTTCAAATAAAAAATAAAAAAAATCTTTACACGTCACAAGAGTATTAAACATTTGCAATCTGCCATCTGTTCACTGATACCAGTAAGTCATTTGAGGAAGATTGTTGGCCTGATACTTCAGGGCATTTTATCTTTTAAAATCACACAATTAGCAAACAGAGTCTTCCTAAAGTGCAAGCTGATCTCAGCATAAATACAGCTGTTCCCTGAAGGCCTTAGAGGTTGTTAGACCTTTGGGAAACAGAGACAGACGAACACTAAGGAACACATCAGACAGACCAGCAAGAAAGTTACTGAGAAGTTGACAGGATGGTTGGGATCTTTTGCATTGTGTCAGTGAAATATATAAAATACCAACAACATACATCCTCAAATCATAAAAAAGTTAAGAAAAACACACTTTCAAGGAACTACATTTGATGCACAAATTGTTTTCCGTTATGTTGGTTTACATTTTTGTTTATAAGTACTTTAGACTTCATTCGAAAAATGATTAAAAAAAATATAAATATATATATAAAAGAAATTTTAAGGAAACATCTTTCATTTAGGTGTTTACACTAAATGCATAGCTGTTGTATTAAACAAGAGAAGACAGGAAAGGATTTGACTGACTCTGAAACAAGAAGGAGATAGGAGCTAATGAGAGGGGAGTAATAGATCGCACACAACAAGGGGAAGGATATTTACTCTGTTACAGAAGAAATAAAGAAATCCAATATGTCACAGACCCTGTTGCAGATGAGTTAATGGAGATACATGTGGGAGTGTGAAGAGAAACAAAGGAAGTTGTGAGTGTTTCAGAGTGCTGACTATTTTGGTCAGTAACTATCAAGTCAAAGGAGTAAGTTCTGGATCTTTTTATAGCTCCATAGTCAACAACACCTGGAGAATTACTTGCCTTTAGTGTGGGTGGTACAATTATTCACTGCAAACTCTGAACAAATCTTTTACATTATGCCCTCATATATGTTACTCAAATAATCTATTTTGGTTAAAAAAAAAAAAACAAGGAAAAATAAGCCACAGATGAAGACAAACCTTCAACTGGTGCCTTTCATTGAACTTCAATCATGATTAATGAAAGATGCATCAAAAGTTCAGAGAAGAACATCTAGTGGATCCACAAGGGGAACTCAAGGATCTAAGCTCAAGGGTACTTCTACACACCTGTGAGATAAGATACACAGATCTTAAAAAAGGAAAATTTGATAAATGACTTGAGTGATGATAGCAGTATCTACTGTAGGTCCTTCATCAGTGTGCGATTAAACATCAGTGCCTGCTTTTGATTTGTTCCTGTGCTTAGGCTCGTGAAAGGAAATATGCTCCAGTCTGTTATTTTTACTTCTTTCCTGCTGTCACTTTCTGTGTCTTCTCCTTTTCCACATTGGTGGAGAAGGGCCATGTATGTATTGGGATGACAAGCGGATTTTCTTCAGCTCACATCCTCAAAAGAACAAACCTTCAGTGTGAAACAGCATGTGCCAGATGGTAAAGAGGAAGCCGAGCTTCTAACGGGCATCTCTCAGTCCCTTAGTTGCAGGAAAGCTTCTATGATGTATCACTTGATTCTGGTTTCTTTTGGATCTGGAAGATGTTGTTGCTTGGTTGAGGCGGAAGAAGAGAGAAGGGAAGCAGAAGCGGGATCAATACGACTATGGAATGAAAGTGCCAAGTAAAGTTTTGTCCCTTTTATGTCTGCAAAAGCACTTTCTGCAGCATTTGCGTAAAATGTTGATGTGAGTTTTGAGTGGTGGAAGCAAACAAGTGCAGCAGAGTCGTTGTTTCTATTGGAGCAACAGCTTTATATATGGCCTACACCCCAAACCCCCCACATGATGCACCCTGCTGTTCAGCCTTATTCTGCAGCTGCAGCAGAACATTTCATGTCATTGTTGATTAGAAGTATTCTACTGCACTTTGGGAAAGTTTCCATACTCCTTTTAAATGTCTTCAAGTTTTGTCGAGTCACTTCTGCGTATTTTAGAGAGATTTTATGTGACAGGCAAACATGAGTGGAAAGTAGATTAAAGGTTTAATTTTGCGTGTGCAGCGCACGCATCTATTTTATACCTGCTTGAGTTATAGATCCACATCCAGAGACTGAAATTTCTGCCTGATCTCCTTGCACAGTAACTCCAGTCCTGTCAGAGAGGATGGAGAGAGTCTATTAAAGACAATTACACGTTACATGTCCTTCGATGTGAACCTGTGTATGTAGCTCTGGCTGTATGTTTGAGGTCCATCATCTGCTGGTTTCCCGTCCCTGCTGCAGAGAATGATCCTCCCAACAACATGTTTCGTAGTGGGGGTGGTCTGTTCAGCGACCCTTCTTCCACACTTCTCACATTCTCCCTTATATGATTTTTTCATGGCTTTCTATAAAGAAAAGAAAAAAAAAACTTTCTTCTTGTCACTGTTTCATAAAGACCAGATTTTTCCAGTGCACTACCAGAGGTTGTCCTTTAAGTAGTTTCCTGCACCTGAGCTGTGTCTCTCTAAAGCTCCTCCAGATGTAGTTTTGCTTCATGAGGATGTTTTGGTCTCTAATGTTCTAAATCACACCTCTCAGGCCTTCATGTGGTTCTAGTAGGAATTATTTTCTTCCCAGATTATTTTTAAAGGTTGAGTTGGATAATGTGACAATGCTGTAAATGCAACCAAATACAAAGCCACACCACACTTTTCTTTTTTTTTTTTTTTGAAAGCTTGTATAAATTTTCCTTCAATCCAGAATTATACATTATTTTATATCCCTCAACTACATATAGTCAGAATAAGATACATTTGCGCTCTATAGATTGTAATTTAACAAAATAACAAACGTTCAAGTGGTTCTAAAGAAGGAAACTGTTAATGATGTGGGTAAGGGTACTTTCATATCATGGCCTACATGTAAAATGATAATTAGATATCTTACTACTATATATTTTATTTGCTAAAACTTTGCATAAAATGTAATGCTCGACCTCGAACGCTTGATGTCTAACAGAGTTGAAGAACATGCTATTTTGAAAACAATCTCATGCAAATGTTTTCTGAGTTGAGTGTTTCCTTTGCACAGAACAATCAAGGTGGAGGTGTATGACTGGGACCGGGATGGCAGGTGATTGTAAATACTTATTTTTCAAATTCGCAAACAATTCAGTGCAACAACACGCTTTGACAAGCAAACAATACAAAACCCCCTCCCCTCCTCTGATCAGAATAAAAACTTCACTTCTGGAGTTAAAGTTTGTTTTTCCGTTTCCTGTTTTCCTTCGTTTTGTTTTCTTCTCACTTTTTCCTCCCAAGCCATGACTTCATCGGGGATTTCACGACCAGCTACCGAGAGCTAGCTCGAGGGCAAAGTCAGTTCAATGTGTACGAGGTGAGTCATCTCGCTGTTCCCACTGTTCAGGAACATGTCTGTTCGATCCTACAACACGGAATCCCAGTGTGGGAGATATCTCGATCCCGTGACTGATGTGTTTGACACTTCCATCACCTGACAACCGTGTTACTCTGCTTTCCATAAACGTTAGTTCTTTTCTCTCCATGGATATTCTCTACTTTTATGAAATAAACTAAAAATAAATAAATAAATAAATGTTTTAAAGAGAAACAGAGAAACACTGGAAAAAATTACATTAGTGTGTTTTCTTTAGCTTTTTTATTGTCAGTCTTAATGTCTCTCCACCTTCCCTGAGCTGCAATACATTCAATAAAACCTGATCTACTTTTTTCTGTTTTGTTTGTTTTTTTTCTTTGTAATTGGTGGCATGCATACTTGCATATAAATAGAATTATTAGCAGCAGCACGGAGCAAAATTAATAGAAAAACGATGCAGGGACTTATTTGATGGTTTAAATGATCGCTACTCAGTATTTTATTTTTCAACGGAAAGCTTAGGAGGCCATTTAGACCTGAGAATATTTCATGAAAATTCCCTTTTATGACATGAGTATATTTCACGTTTGTCCAAACCATGACTTTTGATACACATTTAACAGTTTATGCGCTGCGCTTTAAAATCTACCAATCAAAATGAGCTGAAATCTTTGAGCGGGAATTAAAAGTCAGAGTCTTACTGAGAATAAACGACGTGTCGATGCCTACGTGCCCCTGTGGTTTGGTGGCCTTCAGCGATGGACAAATACCTGTCTTTTAGACGTCAGCTCCATTATGCTCTGCATTTGATTCTTCTTTACCTCCCGGTGAGACTGAAAGGCCCTTTAGTTTTTGCATCAGCAGATTGTTTGGTGTGTCAGACAAATTGCCATCCCTCCATGTTAAATTAGGGGCTGTCACTTTCATGCCTTGCAGCCATTGGGAATTGAGGTAATGAGCTGAGACGTCTTTGGTGTCTGAATTGGCATTTCTCTCTTGTTCTTCACTCGCGAGAATGCAGCTTAATGTTAGTCGCGTGCATTAAACCTATTCCACTTGAGAATCCGTTTTTAACTCAACATTCAGCGACGCATTTTCAGACTTCTATCATCTACTAGTATTTCTGACGAATACATATATATGTATGTGTGTATATAGAGAGACACTTCTATCATTATATCTAAAATGTAAACATATTTATAGTATTGCCAATCAAGTTTTAAAGAGTTGTAAAAGAATATCACCTGCATCTAATGCTTTTTAATCTTTTTTTTTTATCTTCTTAGGTGATTAACACAAAGAAGAAAATGAAGAAAAAGAAATATGTTAACTCAGGAACAGTGAGTATGGCTTCAAAAACTCTCTCTCCTCTTTTCAGGGTTAGTTTTCTTTTGTTTGATTTGATTGTTAAGTCTTAAAAGAAGCAAATTTTCTTCTGTCTGGGAAGAAAATATATATGTACAAGATTAAAGGGTTGATTTGCTCAGATGTGTTATTATATGGAAAATAGGAAAACATGACGGTACGGCAGGTTGAAAAGAAAGTTATGTGGGGCCAAAAAAAATCATGGTGAATTATATGTGACTGGCTGTGGGGGGGTGAGGAGGGGGGGGACATGTAAGAGGCACAAATTGAGGGAAAATTCTGAGGAACTTGAAAGACATCAGAAAGAAGAGCAACACCAACGACCAATTGAGACATCACTTTTCACACGGCTTACCCAAACACGTCTGCTGGAGTGAGTAATGCATACAAATGCATCCCATCTACTCTTCAAACTTGTCCTTTGGCATTGCAAATAATTCAATTATTTGAAAGGCAGTTTCCTTCCTTCCCGATTCGATGGGATGATTTGAGTCAATATGCGGAGGTGTGGGACGTATTAGGAGGAAAACACCAATGCCAATGGGTGTAATCAGTTCTTCCTCCTTCTTTTTGACTCACAGGTGACCCTGCTCTCGTTCTCTGTTGAGTCGGAGTTCACCTTCCTAGATTACATCAAAGGAGGGTGAGTGGGAATTACTTTTTGCACAAATAAAAAGTAAAAAAAAAAAAACATCAAATAGACTTTTTGTTTTCCTAGTTGTTCTTGCCCATGATGGTAAAATGATATCCACATCATTACGTGCAGATTTCTCCACATCTTTCTCTGCACAGCGACGCCTTAGAGCAAGGCAATCTGGAGTTAAGATGTATTCTCACAGTTGGTCATACTCTTGAGAAAAGAGGCAGGACGCTATGCTGCTGTACTTACAAAGTTTTGTCTGAATTTGTGGGTCCTATTTAGAAGTACACATAAATATACATATATAATTTTGACGAATTAAAGTTTAACTCTACTTAGAGGGTCTAGCAACCCTTGAACCTCAGGTTAGCTTTAGCACTAGAGATGGCATGTGCATATCAAGTATTTTTCAGGTAAAGTGATATTTTCCAAGCAGGCTGGACGGTGCTTTGATCTCAGCTGTCTCTTCACGGCAGGGAAACTGTCAGTGGTTTTTATGTCCTGTGGCAGAACTGACTGGTGTGACAGATTTTGCTGACAGCTCTCAGCTTTGGTGGATTTATGATACAATAATCTTAAGCTTTGGTGACCTCACTTCAGATATTTATATATGTAAATGAATGAAAAAGAAATATCTACGAAAGATGTTCTGGGGAAACTGGTTGATATTTAGCTTTTTTCCCCCCTTCTGAAATGCATAAAAATAATCCTTGTTAAAAGAAGCATTATTTTTCAAGTGTAAATAAAATTAAAAAAAAAATAATTAAAACCTTAAAACTCTCTACGAAAGATGGTAGAAAGTAACCGTTAGCTCAAAAAGGAAGAAAATTCTGATAAAAAAAGAGAGAATCACCGGGAAAACTTTATTTTTTATTTCTTCTTGCAGATGAACCATTTGCTAACCTCATTCAGGGGAAAAAAAGTTAATTAATAAAATTAACTTTAATTATGTTAGCACGGTCAGGCTGTGGAACATTACAATCCTCACGCCAAGCTGAAAGGTTAATGGGAATATTAAACACGTTCATTTTATCATCATTCTATTGCTGTTCTCTCTGGTGACTTTTCTAGATAACGAGAGGCTGTCATTTGAGCCCCGGAGGGCCTCATTTTGTCGTAAATTAGCAAGACGTAGAGGGGGGGAAAACTTCGTCAGCAGGGAAAATTGGATTATGATTTGCTCTTAAGTGCTCCATCAGTCTAATTAGCTTGTTACCAGGCTCGGTCTCTCACATGCTCCTCTAGTCTTTCATTGAGAAGGTGAAAGTCAGATACCTTGGATATCATGTCCTAAATTTTAATTGGCAAATGAGTGGTTGCTGTTTGTGCTGTGACAGTGTTGTTGTTGTTGTTGTTGTTGTTGTTGTATGGGTTTAGGAACATGAATAACAAGTGAAATCCTGCTGAATGAAAGCGTAGCTGTTATCTGGTTTGTACAATACCCTTTTAATTGTTCTGAGGAAATTGTTTTCCATTGTGTCACAGATTGCGTGAGTGAGAGCGCGCTAATTTCGAATATGTCTCTCTGGTCCCTGTTGTTGATTTGCTGTTTTGCCTCCTCCAGGACGCAGATCAATTTCACTGTGGCCATTGATTTCACAGCGTCTAATGGTGAGTGATTACAACTTCAAAGCGTGCGTCTGGTGAGGAGGGCAGGAATAAATTGAGGGGAATATCTGACTGTGACATGTTCATATTTAGAATCAATCTCGCAAACCGAAACAGACAGTGCTGTCATGGACACTGTATACAATCACCGATCAGCAAGTTAAAGCCTTCTCCGGGGAGTTCCTCCTGCTACATGTTCTGCTGGTGCACTCATCAGGGAGAGGGGACATGATGTTGGAACCACTGAATACCAGTGCAGTTAATTATTACGGGTTCTTTCTGTCTTGAAAGTTATGTGTGGGAAAAGTTCTCCGATTAGAAAATAAAGTAAATTAGACAAATAAGTTTCAACTCTTTACCGATGAAAAATGTGCAACACCTGAAATCACTGCCATTTTTCAGTAAACGATAAAAAGTGAAACTCTTGTTATGTACAATATAAGTGGTTGTATTTGACACGTATCAGAAATGCTGGGCTGTAGTGGCATATTTTCACTGACGGGATCATTTAGGTGGTCGGTGTAATGGTGCCTTCACACCAAACGCGTTTTGAGCGTCAGGCCCCTCTGGTTTGCATTCAAACTCTATGTGGAGGCGCGTCGAGGGCCGTTGCGGCGCATTTTGAGCTTCTAGCGCAGCGGGATATGAACTTTTTGGAGCATTTTGAGCATTTGGCAGGTCCAAAGCGTCCAATGCAACACATAGACTTTGGATGTAAAAGTCTGAAAACCCATTTTGGTGTGAACGCACCAAAAGTGCACAGGCGTCAAACTTGAAGCGTCAGATGCGTTTTTGACACGCGTAACATGCTTTGTGGTGAAACCATGACTGGCCTACGTCAAAGATGTGGGATCAACAGCTGCAGTACATGCAACCTTTCACTGCTAAAATGCATGGCTAAGCCGTAAGTGTGAACCTGTTGTCATTTATTATGGTTGAATAATCGACAACACTATGCTGTGGTTTACCTTACAGCAGAGACTCTACTTCCTGCAGCAACTCAAGAGGAACAATCATTAATGGGAGCTGAGGGTCGTCTTCTACACTGACATTATTCAGACCGTCTAGCGCGCATTTATCGTTGTGTGGTTTAGCTCGTCCACAAACAAGGACAGGTCTAAACCAATGAACGATGAGGTCTTCAGAGGGGATCAATGCACTTTGTTTCATTTATCCACAGGTAATCCGTCCCAATCTACTTCACTGCACTATATGAACCCTTACCAGCTGAACGCCTATGCCATGGCCCTGAAGGCTGTCGGGGAAATCATTCAGGACTATGACAGCGACAAGATGTTTCCAGCTCTTGGCTTTGGAGCAAAACTGCCTCCTGACGGGCGAGTCTCTCACGAGTTTCCACTGGTGAATCTCCTTTTATTCATAATAACTCCACTCAGTTGTTTTTTCAAACTGTTAGTTTTTTCTTGTAGATATTAACTGATTGATTTGGACATTATTTCTGCCATGAATATCTAGTTAATCTATTAGGTCTATTGTTAGTGCTCGCGTATTGTATATGTAAGGAACCAGTGTAAGGCATCTACCCTGAAATAGTTAGTGAATTCTTTCAGAATTGTATCTGTAGGTCTTTCTAATCAAAGACCTTGTGTTTGCTTATATCATTTTCAGAATGGAAACATGGAAAATCCTTATTGCAACGGTATTGAAGGGATCCTAGAGGCATACCATCAAAGTCTGAAAACGGTTCAATTATACGGGCCAACCAACTTTGCTCCAATAGTGAACCATGTTGCCAGGTGTTGAACTATTTGTGACATCTTCACCTGTTTGCATTGCTGCTGTTCATGTGGGTAGAGTCGCAATTTTACAAGAGTTGCTCACTGGTTGCCTGTTGTTCAAGGGTGAAGCATTGTTAAGTCAGCATGACTAGAAAAGCATTTCAGTTTATTTGTTGCAAATGTTTAATGCTGCATAGATGTTTTAGCCATAAAAAATGTGGAACACGTTTTTGCAAGTAGACCAAGGTTATCCCTTTTATTTGTTTAGCTTATCATTACTGAGCTACAAGGGATTCTGTAATCCCTACAAATACAAAAATCTTTTTTTTTATTTATGATGTTCTTGTTCAGTGCTTGTTCTCGTTGAGTTTAGCTGCCCCTTTAGGTTTTTTGCTTTGACAAGTGCATCTGAATAAATTAGAATATCATTACAAAGTTAATTTAGTGTATAGTGGCTTACAGCTCAAAACTCAATTTTTAGAATACAGAGTTCATACTGTATAAGACTAACAAGAAATACATTTTAATACAGAAGTATTGGACTATCAAAAAGTCATAATTGCATAAAATGAATGAATTACTGCAGAGTGACATAGAGGCAGGCTGTCTGTAGATCTGCTACAGCCTAATCAGTCAATAAAATAGTCCATGACAAAATCCTAAGTTTGGACAAACAGCATTTAAATTTTGCACTAATTAAAAGCACATCACACTTTAAAATGCTAAAAGAAGAAACTGGAGAGAGAGAGGGGGAAAAAAAGCTTTGAGTAGGTAGTTAATTGAATAGAAACTCAAACAACCTGAGCTTCCGTGCATCAAATGTTTTCAGACTGTTCGCCCTCCCTGTGTCAAGCAGCCTCCACTTGAGCTTAACTTTTTGTACGATGAAGAGCCTGTTTGAGATTTCATTCAGTTCAGTTTGTTTCTTCTGTTTAATTCATTTTCTTCTGGGTTTTTTTCTTCTTTTTACAACCTGGTTATGATCCACCAACACAAAACGCCAAAGCTGATCACTACATTCACGCTCTTAAGATGTTGATCAGCAGCGTTTGCTTTTACGTGGCGCTTTGAGCTACCAGGTTCTCTAACCATGAACATTGTGATTAACTGTTCCTGAGGAGGGTGTCGATGGCTGCCTGCTGGACGACTGTCAAGTCTGTCATGTCAGTATTCAGTGGAACTGAACTTCAGATCAACATCAGTTGTAAGCTATAATTATCACAGTTGAAAGAGGAAAAAAAACAGACTTGGAGTAGATAATGTGTGTGTGCTGAATGAGCAATTTCAGTTTTTAATTTGACTGAAATAAATTAACTTCTAGTTGATAATCTGAGATAAACCTTTGGCTGTTATTTTTGACGTTAGTTAAATTACCATCATGAGAAACACTACAGAGCAAACATAATTTTTAAGAAGGTTTTATGACTGTTAAGTAGACATATGAGTAATTTATATTGTCTTGAGTCATTAGTAATCTACATGTATTTCAGTTGTTCAATATACATGCACATGAACATTTTTAAACTTTGACTTTACCTTCATCTGCTTTTTGAGCAATGTATATCCAACTAACCACTAAAAATATTCTACAATCTGCCAAAAAAATGCAGTTTTATTGTCTCAAATTGTTTATTAGGAATATATTATTAATGTAACATAAAGCATAGTCATACAGTGACATCCAACAGTCGGTAGCAGAAAACTGTTTAAATTGTGCGTCAATCTGGATGGGTTCTTTAAAGAAGAAAGAATATTTCACAATTTATTGTTTGGTGCACCTTTGGGTATTTGGACTTTCTTCTCACTGACCTGGAGAACGAATCAAACAAATATTTGATGTTTGATTTGTTTTGAAATCAAGCATCCAGTGAAGCGCTGTCGCCTTTTCTTTTTCATTTAAAATAAGGTATAAAAATTAAAAGTAAATTGATTATGGTTTCATAAATTAAAACAACAAATAAGTACAATTGTGCGAAAAGAGGAGAAAAAAATATGTTTCATCATAATCAGACACATGTTGCCAAGAGCTCCAGATTACTAATAGTCTCCCAGACTTTCTATTGGTAAAATGTCTTAAAGCCCATTAGCTACAAATAATTTCCAGCCTCTACCCAGATTAACTTGTTTTGAGGTCAGAGTTCTTCAGATCACTTTCAGTAGTGGTCCGTGACACTTGCACCTGCATTGGTTTAAGCAGTCTAAACACAATCCTCACACATTCAAGCTGAAGGACTCTGACTCGACATGACTGCCCTGAAGCAGCATTGTTGTGTTGCATTGTGTCTGTGCATAATGCAACTCTGTATTCTGCTGCCAGCCTTGACTAGGATTCTTTTTTTTTTTTAAATCTCAATAGGATTTTCCTGGTGAAATAAAGGTTAACAAATACATGAATGAAGTCATTTTTTTTATTTTATTTTTATTTTTTTAATTCCCAGTCAACCTTTACACTGTCTGAGCTCTAACTTAGAAAATATGGCTGGGTTTTGTAGCCAATATGGCTGCCACATGTATTAAATGAAGCAAAAGTTGAAAGTACGGCCAATGTATTGGTGCTATTTTGTACTGTGTACGCTGAACCAGTGTCACACATAGAGATGTGCAGCCTACACTTGTGAACATGTTTCTTCAGTGCTTGAAAACATAACATGGAGAGAAACATATTATTGCCTTGCATAACTGTTTGAATTAGCATCAGAAAAATTAGCAAATCCCACCATAATGCACTCAGCTTAGGATGCGAGTGATGACTAATGAACCATTATTTCCCTGAAATCTGAGTGAAGAAAAGAGGAAAATGTTCTGTTAGTAGGCTTGTTAAAATATTTTTTTTCTGACTGGACACAAATATGCTGTTTTGTTTTCTTAACCTTGCTTTCCACAAGTCTAACTCTTATTGATCGATAGATATCAGGATGCAAGTGTGAGTGAGACACTTGTAGTATGAAGTGCATTGTAAAATCTTCTCAACTTAGTGTAATGTGTACTTGGATTAGTGTCTGCTTTACATGGTACATGCATATTAAATGTATGTGGAGGAGTTTGCAGCTTCCAGAAAACGTTAAAAAGCTTTAGTTTTTTCTGCTGCGTGTTAAAATCATCAGTTTTTTTTAAGGACTCACATAATGTAGTCTGCTTTAGTTCTCGTATCGCTCCCTGTTATCCTCAAGAGTTTTGCTGCCAAAAGCAGTCCATAAAAATGTTACTCTGCTGAATGCATCTGAATATAAATGTTGTTCAAGTGTTTGAATGCTTCAAGGTTTTGCAGATACAGTATTTTTAGCTGTCTGAGGGATGTGTTTGCTTGTAAATACTCTTTCTGAATGGTTGCTAAACTCGTCTACTTACGTCTTAATTACTACCCTGCTTACATATTTTCCCAGGTTCTAGGTCATTTTAAACATGAAAAAACAAGGGTTACCGGGAGCAAAACTCCATGGAAACCAGCTTTACAAGATGATTTGTTTTGTAAAAAGTGCAACATTTTTATAGGAAATTAATCTAGTTTGATTTCTCCAATCAAACTGTGTCAAAGGCTTCAACTGAGCCATGAATGCAAGTCATTATTTTCACTTTCTCTGCTCTGTAAAACTACATTGTTGGTCATTTTTTTTCTATTAAATGTTCTGCTGGGAAGTCTCAGGACACGACATTCACCCTATCAAAACACTGTTAGTAATCAAGCACATCCATCTAATGGCAGCAGCCCATCACTGGCGGTGTCCTCCCACAGCAGGATTATGTGCCCTGGACGCTCTGGCAGCCGGTCTGTAATTTGGAGCTCTTGCCTTGATGAGGACATCTGGTTTCAGAATGAGAAAATGAGCCATCTCTTTGATTGTGTTTGCCAGAAAGACTAGTTCATTTTAAAATAGTTTCCAAAAATGTGGAAAACAGTCGAATTATAAGTTTCTTTTAATATTTTTTTTTTAGATCACAAAAATGATAAGAACATTCATTTATCATTTGAACTTGTTTGTTTTTTGATACTTGAGTTTTTAAAGTGAGTTGTACTTCAGAAACTACAACAATCTATTGCGGTACTGAAAGAATGATAGTCGGTGTTTAAAATTTGCACTAATGCACCAATAATTGTTTGATTTATGAATCTAATTTGTAAACCAGAATCTAAACACCCTGCTTTAAACATGTCTGTGTTACCTGACTATTGCATATTTGAATATTCCTTATTTTTTTCACACATCAGCACAAAAAAACTTTTTGTGTGTGATGAGAACTGAAACAAGTTCTTCTTCAGATGAATTTGAATTTTGGATTTTTTTGATTGCTTTGATAAATATGTGAGTAAATCCAAAATTGTAGGCTTGTTTGGTTTCTACAGTGAATAAGAAATGATTTGCTAATGTGCAATTTTATCTGTGGGCAGATATGCAGCGGCAGTGCAGGACGGCTCGCAGTACTTTGTCCTCCTAATCATCACAGATGGTGTCATTTCAGACATGGCCCAGACCAAAGAAGCCATCGTAAATGTAAGAAATAAAGACAATTATTTGTTCTCTCCTACATCGTGTGAAGCTAAACATATCCAAGGATACACATACTGAAAGTGTGTGTTAAGGCTGGAGTGGGAATTTACTCTCTTCTTAATGTCTCTCAGTGAATTTCCACTGAATTTAGTACAGAGTATATATTAAGATAAGCTGCTGGTAACAATAGTCATTTTGACTTGAAAGAGCTATAACAAACTGACAAGTAAAGCTTTAGATGATATTGTTTTAAATAATTATTTATTACAAAAGCAGTTGTGATAAAAATATTAATTATTTTTCTTAACTGCATAATTAGTCTTAATTCATGCTGAAATCCCTCAAAGCAGCAGTCTCTTTGCGACTAATAGAGCTCTTTCACCTTTATTTACTTAGTTAAGTGCGTTCAGCACCAACTTTTTTCCAGCAAAATTTTGCGTCAGGTGATGAGATCTACTTGCTGCCAGACTTTGTCAAATATAATGAATATGTCATTGGAAAGCAAAGATGTATATATGACAAACAACAACAAATATTGCTTTTCAAAAAGTATTTTGTAACATCGCTCATGAACACGCTGACATTGCGAAGATGGTATGTTGTGCAACTTTTATGTAGGAGACTATGTACTATAAACTGTCTGTAGAATGTCTTTAAATTGCATTTACGAAAAACACTAGTTGGCATGAAAAAGCAAAGAGAAAAGCATATCAGCTGTGAATTTCAGCATTGCTCAGTTTTCTCTTTTTTTCACACAAATCCAGACACAGCAGGAGCTTTGCAACAACAGCTGTTCTGCAATATGCAGAAAAGAAGCCCTAAAGCCACGGCTTCATATAACAGTGTCAACAGCGACAGGAGCAGCAGAGTGGATACAGAGTATTTGTTTTTACTTTCAGCTGAAGATTATTACCTTCCTACCAAAACAAAATATGCTACAGATATTTGACGGTTTTGCTGCCTCTATAAACACGGCACAAAAACAGAGCTGCTCTCCAGAGGCTTTCCTGAAACTTGTCGTCACATTTTTTTTTTCCGTCTTTCAGCTGTAAACGGCAAATGTGTGCTACTCTTTTCTTTTTCTTTAGTGTGTCCCTCTTTCCTCCATCCTTCCTGCACCTCCGCAGCCTGCCGCCAGCGCAGAACACCCAGCAGACTGGATTTAAAGGGAATTTGCGACTGTTAATCAAAACATTAGAACAGCCACACCTTCCTTTTAAGATCTTGCCTGCTGCTCTATCTCACAGCCTCCAGCCCTGTGGACTCCTGGTGCTTGCCGCTTCCACTGTTCTTTCTCTTTTACTCTCCACTCCTCTTGGACGAGAGCGATCACCGTGCTGAGGTTGCACACTGTGTGTGCTTCAAACTACATCATGATTGAGTTCTTTTTTTTTTTTTTTTTTTTTCAAATAAGAGCAGAGAGACAGATTGAGAAAATCTAAACATGTGCAACTTTCTGTAGGCATCTCACCACTTTGTTTGGTTACATTGTGAGCATGAGGCAGGATATTTGTGTTAAATTGATATTTTTTTCCTCAAAATTCTTTACACAAATACCTCATTATGACAATGTGGCAAAATGTTTTTGAGTTTTTTTTGCAAATTTGTTGAAAATAATCAAATAAATTCAGCTTTTAAGAGTACTGTAATAATCACAAGATGCACAGACTTGTATTTGATTTACTAGTAAGACAACTTCTTCTGTGTTGTACTGGATTTTGTTTAGAGGACTTAGAGCTCTGATCCCTCTAAGAGCTCCACCTTTTCAAATCGTTAGTTTTAATTGAAAGGCCATTTTAAATAACTGTCCTCTTTACAATCCTGCGTGTCGATCTGTTGCATGAAACGCCATTAAATTTCAATAAGGTTAAGGGTTGTAAGGATAAAAAGGACTGAACATTTTTGTTATCAAAGAAAAGAAGGAGCAAAATGTGTGAGCTGCTATGAATACAGGAGCCTGGTGCGTGCATTTATTCTGCAAGTGACATGGAAACACACAAAGAGAGTTAATTTGCATAATGGTTAAGAAATTATGTTGGGTATTTCAAGTAAAGCTGTTACACCTCACACAACTCCTCAGACAAACGTGAAACGTAACCTCAGTACTTTGATCTGGACAGCACATGTGGAAATACTGTAAAAGAAGGTTTACGTTTGCAGCAGCAAAATAAAGCAAAGTGATGAGAAAATAAATCAAATCAAATAAAAGAAATAAAGAGTACACAAGTACACATCATGACTGGTGATCATCCTTCTGAACTCCCTGATATGCAAACAGTTGTTTTATTTTAAAATGTCTTTCTTCTTCCCAGTCTTTGATAGAGAACAGACTTGTAGTATGCATGACTAATCTCTCTCCGATCATAACGTCATGCCACCTGAGCTGTGGATTTATGCAGCTCCTTCAGAGTTACCATAGATTTTTTTTTTTCTTTTTTTTTTCTGCTTCATCATGACTACAATTTTCGGTAAAGGGTTCTAAAATAGCTTAATGGCCTAAGCCCTCTTTAAGTTTTTTCTGCAGCTTTATCCCTGAACTGTCAGCTGTGTCACGTGATTCTCATCATTCTGTCTGTTATGTTAAACGACTTTCTCTAACAAAACTCTGAGGCCTTCGCAGAACAGCTGAATTTTTATTATTTTTTTATTTTTTTTCCTGAGATGACGTCACACACAGGTGGTCTCTGTTGAGCAATTAGGTGGCATCTGGAAGCAATTAGTTCACTTTAGAATTAAACTAAATGATGTGCATACTGATGAAAAATGCATTTATCAAGTTTTTATTTGAAAAACTATTTCAAAAACAGGTATTATTTTACCTTCCCTTCATATTGCATGTTTGGGGTTTACCCATAGTCCTGTCAATTCTGCTTGACGTTTGCTTGCAAAATGTCGATCTCGTACACCAAACCATTGTCTCAATTGATTAGAGGTGGAGCCTGGAGTCGACTGGCAGGTGACGGGGAAGGTGGCTGTAATTACTTGTCCAGCACCTCCCCCACTTCCTTCCTCTCAAGGCTCGTCCATCTGCTGCAAACTAAGTCATGCTCAAGCTTGCTGCCAACAAATTTGTCCATCTTTTTTTTTTCCAAGCCAGCATCTCAACCAACCTGCCAAGCATTTTTGTTCCCCACGTACTCCTCTTTCTTAGAGGTGAACATGTTGCTGAGGCAGACTGCCATTTGTGAGATAGGATCATTATGTTTTTAGGTGAAAACAGCTTATGTGAGTGACTTGCTACAGTTAGATTGGTTGTGTGGTTATCTAAACAGCATCAGCTGCAAAAAAAAAAAAAAAAAAAAAATCTCATGCATTTCAAGTTAAGCTTTTACCACGAGCAGTCAGTTTACGCCACTGTCTCGAATCTGATAACTAACATTCAGTATCCTGCTCATAAAGAAATTGTTTGTTTACTTGAAAATATAAAAGCATTTTCACAGTCACAATGTTTTTCTCTTGGAACAATGTTTTACATCTTTTGTATTTTGATTTCTTCACAGGCTGCCAAGCTTCCTATGTCCATAATCATCGTAGGAGTTGGTCAAGCTGAGTTTGATGGTAAATAACTTTTATTGTTTCATAAACATACAGTAACGTGCCAAAGTTTTTATTCCTTTTGCGCTTCTTGCAACAATCAGAAGCTTTAATGTGGCCTTTTAAAATCTAAATCCAAGATCAACAAAAGCTGGACTTTTTACTAATTAGTTGATGTCTGAAGGTAACTGATAGCATCAGATTTTATACAAATACATGCCATGTTTTAAAGATTTATTTTGTGAAAAATATGTAAAGCATAATTTTCCTTTCACTTCACAATTATGCACTTCTTTGAGTTTATTATATAAAGTCTATATATATTTTTAGTTTGAGTGTAATGTCACAAAATGTGATAAAGGTTCAAGGATTATCAATATGTTTGCAATGCACTAATAATGTTAAAGAAGAAATAAAAAGCACATGCACAACAATAAAGATTAATATTGTTATACCAAGCTTTTAACATGAGAACAATTGAAAAGTTTGTAAATGCAGACAATTGGAAATGCAGCTTTCCACAGACTTTTCTTGGGCAAGAAGTTTCAAAAGTGTAATTCAGAAAAAAAATGCAGTCATATTCACTACAAAATCTAAGTAACGCGATATAATTGTTCAGCACTAAGAAGCACAACTAGACCCAATGCAGCATTTTAAGTCGAATGTGTGTGCTGCATGGATGTCTCCAAAAACGAAGAAAAGATAAAAGAGACAGGAGTTTTCCCTGATCAGCCTACTTTTATCTCACCCTGACATTCTGTCACTAGCTCATGTCTGCTCTCATTTTGTTCAAAGGCTGCAGCTGAATAATATTCAGAAGACAGCAAAAATATAAATAAAGCAAAACCAAAGTAGCAAAACACACATTTGAAAAAGAAAACAAAGGCTCTAACGTCTAGAGGATCATTGGACTGTTTGCTGTATCTTTTCATTTATATATATATATATATAGGTATGTTTGTGTGTGTACTTGCATACAGACAGACATGTTCTGAGTCTGTTATGGTTGCTAAACTCTCTGACTGCATTTCACAGAGAAAACTGCTGTTCAAACGCTTAAATCTGAAGGGAAGGGACTGTGTCGGTGGATGCAGGCATAATTGCAGAAGAACCGACTAAGGTTAATTGCTGGGTTTGCAATGTTTAGTGCTGATGATTCTAAATTGCACAGTCTATAATAAAGGTCTTATTACGAGATTAGACCGCCAATAAAGCCTGCACAGCTCAACATATGTTCAAGCTTTACTACAGCTACAAGATGATGCATGAATACAGTGTGACCCACGTCTTTACATAAGTGCGGATCTGCATCATCTCTGTTGTGATGGAAGCTGTTTTTTGAAATGTGCTCAACACCACGTGATTTTATGCATGCCTGCTTATGATTTATTTCTTGCAGCTATGGTGGAGCTGGACGGCGATGACATCAGGATCTCATCCCGGGGGAAACTGGCAGAGAGAGACATTGTTCAGGTGACTGTGGAAGATAGACTGAGAGAATAAAATCTGCAATTTTATTGTCTTTGGAAAACTTGTGAATATTTAAATCTTCATTAGAGCTAATTGCCAAGTGGCAAATTAAAATAAATGAGTATTTTTTGTGTGTGTGTTCCTTGTACCAACATATTTTGGTTGTAATTCATCAACAGTGGTGCTTCTAATGTTCCTTAGTTTTGACTTATGTTTACCGACATACCATAAAACATAATTTGTCACTAATGGCAGATGACAATGTGAGGAGTAGATTTGTTTTCTGAGATTACATGTGGAACAAAGCATTGGAAATGTTTTGTATTGCGTGCCACTCCAGGAAACACGAGGCGTCTTACCTGTCAAGCCGTTTCATCTGCAGTGAAACTAAACTCGACTCCCAGTGCCTGTTGCTATTCTGCAGAATGTGACTTTGTGCTCGTAACAATGCCACCGCACAATTTAAAGACGCATGTTTTCAGGTGCGCGGCTTGCTAATCTCTGTTCCGGGTCATTCGAATTATATTGCTAAGCTGAATAATCTGGGTTTCTCAAACAGAAACGATCATCCCGTCATCATTGATGAATGTCCTGTTAAAAGGTGTTGACTTTACAAACATTGGCGTTAGTGAAGCGTCGAATATGGATTCAGTATTTCCCGTACAAAATCCTGAGTGACTTGGTTGGATTGTCCCAGTTATTTGGATGTTTCAGTATTTTTGGCAGCGTTTCTAATTCTTATCTAGATGAAAACATTGTTTTACTCGATAATATTTCTATTTAAAGTATTCTTCAAAGTATTTCCGTCTGAGAGCGTTTTCACACCTGATAGCCCAGAAGAATCAGTTTGATTGGAGACTAAAACATTTAAATTTTGTTACATTTTCATCTGGTGCGGTTGCACTCACACTTCCCCAAATGAAAGTGACATCCTAGGCAAATGGACTAGAGTTTGATTAAAGCGTACCAAACAGGGCTGATGTGAACGCACCATAAAGCTATAACATGTATGAAAGAACGAATTTCAGACTTATTAAGCATTTTACATCATGTTTTGCGTTACTTTTAAGCTGTATGTTTTGTCCCCCCCGTCTGTCACTGTTCTTCAGTTTGTTCCTTTTAGGGATTACATGGACCGGACAGGAAACCACGTGCTGAGCATGGCACGGCTCGCCAAAGATGTGCTAGCAGAAATCCCTGACCAGTTTATCTCGTACATGAAGAGCAGAGGGATCAAACCCAACCCTGCGCCGCCGCCATACACTCCACCTGGACACACACACCACCACACACAAATCTGAGACCCTCTTCTTTGCATTTCACTGAGGACAGATAAGCATGCAGCAGCCACTCCAAGTCCGGTGGGAACTCTCTACCTCCTGATTTTGTTTTACCTAATTTGCTGTGAACAGGAGGCCAAGCAATGGGTGTAGAATGTTGTGCTGTACTCTCCCATTGACTAAAGAAGCAGTATTTTTTTTTTCTTTTTGTTCGGTTTTGTTTCTACCGTGATAGATTTCTTTGTAGGCCCTCTTCAGGAGATGCTGACCCAATTTTTCAGGACTTGTTGCTGAAAGCCTTTCGGGCAGTGACTGTTTCACGTCTACTTTTGACAGCAGGTTGATTCGAGGGTCATGTTGTGGTTTAAACCTTGTGCCTGTCTGTGCTTGTTTCTTTAAGTGTATCAGGACATTTAAACTTGACCCAGGCTCTTCTTGTCAATCATCAGTGTGGCCTAATGCAGTAATATTTTTTTCACCCACCTTCTCCTTCTCAAATATGTTTTGTATTGGGGATTGATCTCGATTTCTGATGATGTGACGGCTCCAGCGTTTTCCAAACGACACCACCTCCTTTTCTCTTTAATACTAAATGTCGGTATGAGCATGTCGTATGAGATTTATTTCCTTTTTTTTTTTTTTTTTTTTTTTTTTGTAGAATGGCATGGATAATTTTTACGTCTAATTTTGAACAAAACAAACCTAATGGATTTTAGCAACTGCCAATTATTTTTGAGTGACTGACTATGAAAACTAGCACAACAACTACTATGACTGTACCAGATGGCCATATTACTATTGGAGTGCTGCTAATCATTAATTTTGAGGAAGTCATTCAACTTTGTCAAATATTTTACATTCATCACCACCGTTTAATACAAAACATGGAGAATTAAGTATGAAAAAAAAATACTGGCTCCTATTACACTGTTTGTAGGACGTTTATTGAAAGTGTTTATACATACATGTGCAGAGCAAATCCAAGGCATATGCAAAAATAAACTGCTGCTTAGGGCCCCAAACCACCAGGAGGGCATCGGTTGAATTCTCACACTGGTCATAGATCTTAGTTGTTTTTTTTGTTTTTTAATTTTCTTTTTCTTGACAGTGAGCATACTACTAATACAAACTGTCTCAGGACGTTCAAGAGATTTTTAGTTATTTAACATAAAAAATATAAATAAATGTTATGGTTATATTTTAACCCTAGCAGAATTAGTAAATATACTAACTGTATATAATATACAAAGAAATGTCTTTTAACATAGGAACTATTTAATGTAATCCTTTCTGTTAAGTTTCTGAAGTGGGATTCATATTTCATGCCACTGTTTACAAATATATTTCAAAAACTCATTGTCAATTCTTTACAGTCAGCTGCACACACAACTAAATAAGATTAGAGCCACATAAACTTTAAACTCTACATATTAAAACTACACTGACGAAGCTTCTGGATGAAAACGTCAAACAGTTCCCATAAAGAAGTTAAAATGAAAGTTACTGTCATAAGATGTTCTCCTTTCCGCCATCAATCCTTTAATATGTGTGAATGGGATTACATTCAATAGCCCAGAGCAACTCTCTAAAATAAGCTTGAGTAAAGTGTGTGAGAGTTTGAATTAGCTAAGACATACTGAGGTGTAATTTCAAAGTAAGGTACTGGATGACATTGTGGTGCTGGATTGCTTTAAAGTTGCTCATTACAGGAAAACACAAAGTGAAAATCTTCCTAAAGCGATGACTTGTGAGTGGAGGGGGGGAAAAAAATCACATTATAGCTCAAAAAAGTATCATTTGTACTCAAACTCTTTAGAGTGAAAGCCATTATTTATTTTCTATGCAAATGAACTCACTAAAAACGTTTACAAAATCATATCAGTGGGAATAAGTATAATAGTTGTTTTGTTTTGTTTTTTTATAAAGGGATGCCTCATACAGAAAACTATGACAATGTTTGATATTTCCTGGCAGCAGCAGCCTAAAATAGTGTTACAGCTATCAATAAAGACACTGTACAAAAATAACAATCTCTCATTAACTGGATTTATTTCATTCATTCTAACTTATTTGTAACTAAATAAATTATATCCTCAATGAGTGAACAAGTTAACAAAAAAGTTAATTTCAGAAAAACATCAGTTTCTAATTTATTATTTTTTTTATTTATTTATTTTTTTCAAATAGACATTAATTCAGTAAAAGCCATTTGGTGCAGATTTTTATTTTTTTATTTTTCATTCCATCAAAAAAAAAAATGTATGTACATATCATTACATTGAGCATTACGTTATCTGGTAATAGACCTTAAGAGGAGCAGAAAATCTCATTTTATTCAAAGAAAAGTTAAGACTAATTAAAAAAAACATTCTCTTACAAGCAATATCAGAAGAAAATTACATTTAATAATAGTAATGGGTAAACATTATTTCACTTTTTATGTTGTTTTTTTATTTCAGTTTGTGTCTTTTATTTGGTACCATTAAAAAAAAACTTATAATGAGGATTTTGCAGAAGAATTTAAACCATTGAGATGGTGGAAACATGCAGCAAAGCAAGACGCTCCATTTTTAACCTCCTCAGCATGCAGACTTCAGAGGCAGAAATGTAGGTCAGTGCCATGCTGAGATATTTCAGCAAAAGCTTTTCATCAGATTTCTACATCTGTTTCTAAATTCTCTGAATCTTTATGTACCAATTGCAGAAGCTCTGCAAATAAAGCAATGATAATCCTGGATTCAAGATATTTTATTCAATAATAATATATATATATATATATATATATATATATATATATATATATATTTCAGCCACCACTCCTGAGAAGTATGTGGATGCCTTGAAATGTTGGAACACTTTTTACTGCAGGATGGAATAATCTAGAGGACAAAACTTGACATCATGTTACCATGGCTATGGTAAATTAATTTAATTTAGTTTTTTTGCTAATTTGTTCTCCAAAAAAAAGAAAAAAAAAAAAGAAGCAAAACCAAGATAACTGAAAAATGTTTAATTTGGGGCCGTATTATGTTTTGTGATTAATCCCATTGTTTTTGTCTTTTGTCTCGCTATTATACAGCAATCATTCTGCACTTCCAATTATTTTGTGTTGCAGTGAAAGAATGAATATTAAATGACAGCACTTTTTGTAGTTTGTGTCAAAGCTCGAATGGCTCTGATTGACGGACCGTAAGACAAAAAGGTTACCCGTTTCTTTGAAACACATCAAAGTACTGAAGAAACAGAATATATTTCAATTCAAAAGGCTCGGGCCAAACTGTTTAATGTAGCAAACTATTAAGGCCTTAATCATTTGAACAGTAGTCACTCCATCCTATTTAGTCCTGTCCCGACACGCAGCTAAGATGGATGGGTAAGGTTCAGAGAAGTAGACCGACAGCTGGTTTGCCTGTAGAGTCAATTAAGTATAAATCCTACTGGAACTAAAGTTTGCCTTCAAATCTTTTAACATCTTACAAACACATTTTCTAAAGCAACAAAAGTAGTTTGACACGACCGTGAACAAGACTCTGATCGTTAATAAAGTGTGAGTTCCTCTAAAAGTTCCTGCGCTAGTTGAGTTTTTAATTAATATATTTTTTGTTATTTTGCAGTTTTCTTAGGGTTAGGATCTAAATCATGTTTGCAAAAGGACTGTCTTGGGCTCAAACGGCCAACACACACACACACACACACACAAAAAGCACACTTTTAAAATGTTGTCTGACTGAAATACTTTTTACAGACATGAATCTCCTCCAGCCATTAACATCTAATCTCTAAAATGAATGCTAACTGTAAATGTTTTTATATATTTTTTTTTGGAAAGATTGCTGTACTACAAATATTTGTTACATTTTTTTTAGAACATGAGAAGCCATTGATTCTTTTTATCTTTTCGAGCCCTGATAATTATTATCCTTATCAAATGCATGACATTCTTCTTTTGTATGCCTTCATCTGTTGGAGAAAAAAAATACACAGTCCATCCAGAATACAAGTGTTTCTGCACCAAATGCGGCGGTGAAGATGGACTGCGAGGTATTTGTTCTCTCTTGTGCCTGACTCCTGAAAATTTCCCGTCTCATCAGTGTTTATACAGAACAAAACAAAAGAGCTGTAGCTAGTTTGCATGTTACAGTTAACACCCTTTGTTATTTATCATTACTTTTGGTCTGATTCCACTGTTTATATTTTTCTTATTTAGGTATATTAAGTTCTCTGTTCTGCATGACTCGGCTTCACGTTTCAAGGGTTTTTATTGTACATGATTAGTGTCATATGGTGGGTTGTGAAATGCTTTGTATTGGATTGCCTTAAATCGAAAATTATTAAAACCTGACTACTTTTATAAAAGCTGGTGAAGAGTTTGTTTGATGTCGCTTGTCAGCGCTGCAGTTTTATGGCTTCAAATCAGCAGAGAAAATTAAGTCTCACAGTGTGTTACCTGTTTGAGAGAACGGCAGGGTGTGCGACAACTAATTAAGCCTCTGTGAGTTGGGTGTCATAAAAATGCTACATTCTGGGACTTATTTGTTTCAGTCTAATTGCATTGTTTGTCTCTGTCCTTTTCATAACTTCATTGAAAAAAGTTGATCTTCTAAAAAAAAATCCTCATGATTCTTTGCACAATTTTTTTTTACTATATTTTTCTCCTTAATATTGCAGTACCTTACATTTTCTATAATCAGGCCAGATATATTTTTTCAGCTTTTCCTTTTCTTTCAGGCTTATATGACATATGTTATGGCAAATAGTAATAGAAAACAATAAGCTGAGACGTGGTAAAAATGTTGCCAAAGCTCATTAGTTCATTTTCTTGAAGGGCTGTGGGCGAAACGGATGAAACCCCTCGGTGCTTCACATCCCTCCCCTCCTCTTTCACCAAAGTTACCAGATTTTGTCATTTGAGATTACTGGAGTTTGAGAGAAGGCAATGGATGATAAACCGCAAATGCACATGCGGTGGTGCAGAAAAGCTGCATGAAAAAAGGCTAAGAACCTCGCAAAATGCGCCCAAATAAGCAACGTGCTTGTCGATGGCATCACAAGTTTGACTGCACAGCATGTTCAGGCTGGAGAAGGAGGCAGAATTGGTGGTTAGAGGAATTCATCTTTGCAGGATGAGATACGGGACACAGGAACAGATTGGGGGAAGAGGTCAGATTAGCATCTGCCAGCCAGTTGAAATATTATTGAGAGGGATGTTTAATGTGGAGAGGAGGGCTGGTGCCAGGTTTTCATGCTTTTAAAAGTTTATGTGTTCTAACATAGAATGAGACTAAATATTGCCTTTGAATTTACACTTTTACTGTTTGCATCAGCAAAGATTATATGTAAATACTAACCTTTACCTGCTAAAATTAGCAATGCTTCTTTCCTTTAATATGTTTTATTAAAATTAAAAATCTTTGCTGGATTTTCTATTTTTTGTTCATTTAGTGTAAACACTTCTTCACATTTTTATTAGAGATCACATAATTAGTTTCTCAAACTGTATTTAATTCATGAATGTTGAATGACTTGCTTTTCTCTAAATGTTTATGGAAACCTATAAATATCAGTTTACACATGCAAGTTTGTCTTCCTTAAATTATTCAGTTTGTGCTGTGTGTGCATGTGACAACCTGCTGTGGAGGTGGCAGCAGTGACAGCTGTCATAAATCAAACTTTTAAACAAATGTGAAACAATATGTTCGCCATTACTGCTCATGAGGTCTTGAGTAGCACTGTAGCTAAAATAATAACTGAGTTCCTGCATTAACAAATATCCTGCTTCATAGACGGTTTGCTCATTTTATTTTCTGAAAAGAAATCTACTTCATGCACCCAGTCTTCTCTTTTCTGAAAGGTCTGGCACCTACCTGGGCTTTGCTAGCCACTTTTTGGGAGCCATTTACTTTCTGAAATTGATACACCTGAGTGTAGAGAGATTCTCGGGAATATTTTTAGCTTCTAGGTCAAGAGAAAATAAAGTGGAGAAAGAATGTTAAACTTCTTTCTCCACCTTGTCTATTATTTCAAAAGATTTGACAGCTTATCATTCCAGCACGTGGATAAATTACACAGGCTGATGCTAATAAGCATTCAAATAAAGGTTTGATTTTTTTTTTTTCTTTAAAGTTATGCTGTACAGAGATGTAAATGTCTTTATTATCTGAGATCCTTTTGGTCACACCTGCCACAATGTCCTTGCAAAGAGCTCGCAAACATTGATGTTTTTTTTTTTTGTTTGTTTTTTGTTTTTTGTTTTTTTCATTTTGAAAAGGTTTTTACAAACAAGCAAGAATAGTAATTACAAGTAATTGTGACACCAAGATGTTGCTAATGCCATATATAAATATTCCGCTGATTTACATGCCCAGCATTTGTAATAAATAAATGTGATTTCAGCTTGACATTCAGCATGCTGCAGAGCTGTCTAATTAAAACAAGAGTCAAGACCAACAGTGGTCTCACACCAGTCTGTTTCAAGGAGTCTGTCATGTTAGGAGACCAATTCCCTGCCAGGATAGAGACAAGAGCCTCTGCAAACAGAAGGTAAGGATGACAGCCAGAAGCTGATTAGCACAAAGGAGAATTCAGAAACAGTGATCATGTTTTCATCCAGAGCTGCAGGTGATTTGAGAAATGGACAAGGCAATGCTTACTTGTCTCCAGTATATCACTGATTTTATGGTACTCCCAAGTTTCTTTCCTCAGAAAGAGATAGTTTCACGCTCTCCAACCACCGTTTCTGCAGTGATGAGTGCAAAGTGCCTC